AACATCCTGGCGTATTTCCCTCCAGTTATTTTCCCCCACACAAATATGCTTTGTTAGTTTTGAAACATACATGAAATACTAGGCCAGTGCTTTTTTCATCATGTCTCAGCTACTTCCCTGCTCTAATTACTGGTGCACATAACAGGCAAGAGCTTTACACATTTTACATGGAGGAAAAAAGTTACATTCTCAAGGTCACAGCAACTCCTAGCTAACAATCACCATTAAAAACAACAGCATGCCTGTAATCTCAGTGGCTTGGAAGGCTGAGACAGGAGAATCACGAGTTCAAAGCCAGCCTCAGCAATGGTGAGGTGCTAAGCAACTCAGTGAGACCCCTTCTCTAAATTTGAAAAATAAAAAAAGCTCAAACCTGAGATGTCAGCAATATGGTGGACTAGGAAGCTCTAGGCCCTCTCTTTTCCCCTGGAGAGAGAGAGAGAGAGAGAGAGAGAGAGAGAGAGAGAGAGAGAGAGTGACTGACTGACTCTGTAACAGTCAAAGACCTATAGCAACTAATAGAGATCATCCAATCAAGAAAAGGCCCCATTCAAAATAGTAGGAAACCTCCTGAGGCTTTTGCTCATTTTTACCACCTTTCCCCACCCAGTGAGCACAGCCTTGGTCTGGAGGAGTTAGCACCTTAGCTCTCAGTTTTCTTTCCCAAACTGGAGGAAGCAGAGCAGACCTTCTCAGGCAGAAAGAAGCAACAAGGTCTGCTCAAGGAAGCAGCAGGGATATCTAGACTGAAAAATGTATGAGAAGGTTCTTTGGAAAATTAAGATTTTTAAAGGAAACTGTTAGAAACTGAGGGTCTAGCTCGGTGGTAAGGTGCTTATCTAGAATGCATGAAGCCTGGATTTAATACCTAACACTGCCCCCCCACACATACACACAAAGACAGCTGTGAGTCAGTCGAGGTGGCACATACCTGGAAGCCCAACTGCTGGGAAGGCTGATGCAGGAGGATTGCAAGTTTGAGGTCAGCCTGGACAATAGTCAGACTTTATCTTAAAATAAAATAAAAGGGTATAGGAAGCCAAGCACAGAGGCACACACCTTTAATCCTAGTAACTCAAAAGGCTGAGGCAGGAATGTCTCAAATTCAAAGACAGCCTCAGCAACTTAGTGAGGCCCTAAGCAACTTAGCAAGATGCTGTCTCAAAATAAATCATAAGAAGGGCTAGGGAGGGCTAGAGTTGTGGCTCAGTGGTAGAGCGTTTGCCTAGCATGAGTGAGGCATTGGGTTCAATTCTCAGCACCACATACAAATAAATAAAAATAAAGATCCATTGGAAAAAAAAAATGCTGGAGTATGCAGCAGTGGTTAAGGATCCCTGGGTTCAATTCCTGGTACCAGAACAAAAAAAAAAAAAAAAAGGCTAGGGATGTAGCTCAGAGGGAGAGCACTTGTCTAGCACACACCAGGCCTGGAATTCAATTCCCAGAACCCCTACACACACACAAAAAAAGCAACTACATGTCAAGGTGATTGAACAGCCACACACAGGCCCAAACCACGAGCATGCTCAGGAAAGTCCTGGAATGATCATTCCAAAGCTCAGAACATGCCCAGCTAGTTAGTGAAGGACTGCTCTGATACAAAGCAAGTCTGAAAAATGAGGAGAGGTGGCTATTCTTTCAAATACTCAATTATCAACAAAACCAACAACAGAAAAAAAAAAAATCACAAGGCATACAAACCTGAAAACACAGCCCATTCAAAGAAAGAAAGTGACACAAACTATCCCCAAAGAAAGATGGGCATGAGACTTATTAGACAAAGACTTTAAAACTTTAAAGACTTTAAAACAAACTATCTTTTGTTGTTGTTGTTGTTGTTTTGTACTGGGGACTGARCAAAGGGGCAGTTTACCACTGAGTCAGATCCTCAGCCAGTTTATTTTTATTTTGAGACAGGGTGAGGCTAAGTTACTGAGGTTGGCCTTGAACTTGCAATCCACCTGCCTCAGCCTCAAATTATTATTGTAATTTTGGTTTGTAGTTCCACTTTTTATTTTCTACAGGATTTTGAGAGAGAGCAGGGGTGCTTATACTAATATCAGATGCAATCAACTTTTCATCAAAAACTGTCATAAAAGACAAAGGAGGGGGCTGGTATTGTGGCACAGCTCGCCTCATACATGGGAGGACCTAGGTTTAATCCTCAGCACCACAAATCCTAATCTATAAGGATCTCAATTGTGTCACTTGCAAAATAACAACAGTACCTACCTAGTAAGATTCTTGTGAGGCTAAGCAACCATAGAGCTGATAGTCATAATGAATTTGAGCTGAGCCACTGACACATTACTTGACTTCTATGTACCTCAGTATCCCCATTTACAAAACAGAAATAACAACAGTACCAACCACATAGCTTTGCTATGATAAATTACATGAGTGAATCTACATAACATTTTCAGAAAAACAGTTGGCACCCTATGTAATTTCAGCTATTATTATTATTTATTTTAGTTGTTATTTGTAATCAGAAAACACTACCAAACTGGGCCATTTATACTATGCTTCCTTCCCCCATGGGCATTGGGATTTGGACACATTACTTGTTTTAACTAATGGGATGTGAAGTTCATCACATCCCAGCAGAAACTGTAAACCCAATTTATGTTCAGCCTCTTGCTCCTGTGCCTTCTGCCACAAGAAGGGCATGTCTAAATCAGAGCAGCCTCAGTCCAGGAATGGGAAGACCCATGGAACAGATCTGAACCCACCCTGCAGTGAAACAGTCTATTAAAAAAGAAATTGCAGAAAGCCACTCCTTTGGACTAAGCTCCTGCACCAGACCACAAAGACCAGACTAAAAGTCAAAATGGAGTCATTTATAATAAAGTTCCAGTCACCAAACCCAAACTGAGTTGTTATCTGAACTTTGGAGAAAGTATTATTTCCCAAACAGGCCAGCTTCAGTGAACATGATAAGATACTTAAACTAAACTGCTATGATTTTGTCCTTTGACAAGTCATAGCAGCTGACCCAAAGTCACCAACTGTTAAGGGCCACAGCTGAGTAGGGACAACGCATGGCATTTTGCCAGAAGGGAGTGGTTGAGAGGTGACATCAGCGAGCCATTGAGATGATGATGGTTAAGTTAAGCTGTGTATTCAATTGTATATAGACCCCTGCTCTCCGCCTCAGGCGCCTGCTACTTTGGAGTTCTTGCTGGGATTCCTGGGGAGTTTGTGTTGGTTAGTGAAGTTCTGGGGAAAGGAGTTCTGGTTGGTGTGTGGTGTCCCTGAGAGGGCCACACGAGTGGCGTTCAGGGGAGTTTGGAAATAAAGTTGGTTCCTGCTTCAGTGGCTCGTGATTTGTGCCCAGCCAGACTGCGGCAACCAACCCATAATGTGAGCAAGAAATTGAGATTTGCTGTTGTGGGCTACTGATATGTTTAGATTATTATAAAGCACGACTGAAAAAAAGATGATTCAAACAAAACCCATCACAAATATCTTATCTCTTATCATCAAACTTATTCCTGGTCCTATAAGCCTTCTTTGAACTAATGGCACCATCATTTACCTATATACCCAGGCCCCATTAGAAACTCCACTGTCATCAATGATTCCTCACTCACTTCTTCCCATTCTACTCCATCATTAATTCTAATATCTGCTCCTCAGGTATACATACCCTTCCTCCTACTTAGAACCATAGCTCTGACCCCCACATCATCATCTCAAGACTCAACTCTTAACTGTCACCTAACTTTAGGTACCAATCCATCCTCCACATTGCCACCACACTGATGATTCCACTGAATCCATAGGATCATGTAACTTCTCTACTTAAATATTCTAGTGGATAGCCTGCAAAATGAAATCTAAATGTGGCATTGTAAATCTAAATAAGGCAGGGACCTCCTTTGTCTTCCAAGTCCTCACAACCATTATATACTTTTTTTTGAGATGTAGATCTTACTATGTTGCCCAGGCTGGTCTCAAATGATCCTCCCACATCAACCTTCTGAATGCTGGGACTACAGGCACGTGTCACTACACCCAGTTTACACACTTTAATAATCTAAGTTTAATACCTATATTTTTGAAACTCTCTTGGTATAGTCTGAACTCCTTTCTCCATTCTGAATTTGGCTAGCTCTTTTACAACAAAGATCCATCTCACCTATTACTTCCTATTATACCTAGCTTTTAAAAAAAATTTAGTTGTAAATGTACACAATACCTTTATTTTATTTATTTTTAGGTGGTATTAGGGATCCAACCCAGTGCCTCACATGTGGTAGGCACTTCGCTCTACGGCTGAGTTACAACCCCAGCCCCTGTGACTACTTTTTTAAGCTTTAGAGACCACTTATCACACTGAGGAGCTTTCTTGTCCATCCTCCCCCCAGAATCAAGTTCCATTTCTACATATTTAGACCAAATACCTAAAATAATGCCTAGACCACAGTAATCACTTAATGTTTCTGATTAAACATTCTACCTAGACAAATAATTTTGTTATTTTCATAATTTACATATTATTCGTTTAAGCTTAGAAATCGTAGACAGACGATTTTCCAGCCCTAATATTTCACAAGCTGTGAGTTGTTTCTTTGACATTCTGAAACCTCCCAATTCCAAGAAAAGCCATTCCAAAGTCAATGGGAGAGATGTATTTTCTATTAATATAATTATTAAAATCTAGTAAGCATAGTTCAGCGCTAGCTGTGCTAGGCCGGTGGCTCCCAACCTAGCTGCCATTATTCTCTTAACGACTCCACAACAATGCAAACTCTAGGACCTCACCCTAGAAAACTCAGAAGGTACTGAGTGGGGATTAGGCAGCTGCATTTTCAACAAACTCCCCAAGTAACAATGCTACAACGAGTTTTCTTCTTCAAAACTTCACAGCACCCTAGTGCGTCCCCTCATCACTAGAGCTCTAGAGAAAAGAAGAGCAGTTGTTAAAGTATGCCCAACCTCCTAGTCCCGAGGGTCCGGCACTGACAGGCCACTAGGACACTCACACAGCCTACCTGGTAGATGGCAGAGCCGGAGTCCAACTGGGTGCCCAACGCCGCCACGGCGTCAGCGTGATAGGCGCGCAGCCCCGGGGCAGCGGCGCGGAAGCAGGGCCGCAGAGCTGACCGCAGGGGGGCCCACATAGCTGCGGTGTACGAAGCAAGGGTGGCCCGCGACGGTCGGGAGCAGGTTCTTTCCCCGGGTTTGCGGCTAAGGTTCGACTAGCGTCCTTTAGGCGCCAGCGGCAGACCCTCAGGTTCTCAGGCAAGCCCCTGGCACGTGCCTGCCTATGCCAACCCCCATTGGCCGGTGCCGCGCACCACGCCTCCCAATTCAGCCAATAAGGATTAAGAGCGCAACCCCGCGAGGTTCTGTCCCATCGCGATCCCAGGAGCGCTGGCGCTGGGACGAGGCGCGTCCAGCCGCGCTGAGCTGAGAGAACCGTGGTTGGGTTTGTATCGTTGGGGTGTTCCTACAACAACCCACACAGCGCAGCACTACTACCGTAGCGCAGCACTGGGGAATCTCATCTAATCTAGTCTCATCTAATCACTGGAGATCTTAAACACTTTTCTGATTATTTTTACTACGTGATAGATTGTGGATCTCAGTGTTGGGATCTTTAGATAAAGAACCCCACACATATTCATAAAAATTAAAAACACTCTACAAAATGCCTTGAAACTTTTTAATTCAAATGTGTATTGAACATTTACTGCCCACTACTCGATTGGTTGCTTAGGCGACTGAATAAAGGTAAAAATGTGAGGAACCTAGGAAGAAGCAGGCAGAGAGAGAGAGGGTGTGGCTACCAGCTAGAAATAAACCTGGTTCTGGACTTCAAGGTGCTTGGGGAAAAAAAAAAAAAAAGCGGAGAGGGTGGGGAATGATATTGGCCAAATTATATTGTTATATTTTGTGCATGTACAATGTTTAAGCTAATCTTATCATTAGGTACAACTATAATGCACCAATAAAAAGTGTGGGAATTAAATTTAAAATAATTTTTAAAATAGAGAACTTCAGACGGGGCAGAGTACATCTCTCTCAGAACTTGATCTTCCACTCAACAACGACAAATACAAATCAAATGATAATATTAGCTGTGGTATCACCACAATTAATATGCTCATAACGTATTAATGACAAAAACAGTTTATAAAATGATTGCTTTTAAAAAATAAAAATAAAATAAAAATTTTTAAATGTAATACAATTGACCACCTAAGTGTCAGATTTGTAGGACAGACATTAAAGGAACAGAATGCCATGAGGGAAGTGAGGTAGCTGAACAAAGCCTTGCCGAGGCTCCCCAACACCCTCTACAGTACTGGGGATTGAACACAGGGGCCTCTACCATTGAGCTATATCCCCAGCCTTTTTTTATTTTTTATTTTGATCCAAGGTCTCACTAACATGCCCAGGCTGACCTAAACCTTGTAATCCTGCTTGAGCCTTCTAAGCCATTGGTATTACAGGCTTGAGACACCACTGCAACTGGCTTTGCAGCTTTGAATATGAACAGAGCCCCCAAACTTGGCTAGGCTTGGTGCAAATGGAGAACAGCCAGCAGCATACGGGGCAAGCACAAGAGCAGGAGCTCAACGGGAAAGTTCTGATTTACAATGTGTGTGCTGCCAGTGTTCGACTGAAAAATGGCTCTAAAAACTGACTCTTCAAATGCATCAAGGTAACAGGAGAGAGACTGTGTTTGACATTCAAATTGTCACACTTTTTCTCTAAATAGTTCTTCAATAATGCAAACATACTGAAAAAAATCACCTTCTGACCACAGAAAAGACAGGATAGAATGTAATTCCTTACTTTCTTTAAAAATCTTCCATCATGTTTATTTATTGTAACTCGATGTTGTTGTTGTTCTTGCTGGTGGTGGTGGTGGTGGTGGTGTTTTGATACCAGGGATTGAATCCAATGGCACTTAACCACTGAGCCACATCCCCAGTCCTTTTTACTGTATATTTGTTTGTTTGTTTGTTTGTTTGTTTGTTTGAGTCAGGGTCTCATGTTGCTGAGGCAACCTTTGAACTTGCTATCCTCCTGCCTCAGCCTTTTGAGCCACTGGAGTTACAGTGTGCACCACTGTAATCACATGAAGCTCATTGGAAATTGTATAATGCTCCCAGAATAGGGAAGTAGAAAAATGCAAAAGGTCAAGTGACCCCCAAATTACCTAGCACTTGTTAGTGTCTGGTATCTACATTCACTACTGAGATTATACTCAGAGGTTAGAGTTATGACTTAGCCACCTGATGATCTTTTCTTAAAGAAATTTTATGTTGGAAATAAAAGAATTGAATTTTCGCCCCCAGGGTCCATCTCTATAGCCTGGGGTACCTCCTTTCCCCTCTCCCCTCAGCCCCACTCCCATGCATTGCTTATTCCCATGGGTGGCCCTCCTCTACATGCTTTCTCTCTGCCCAGGGCAGCTTTCCACCACCAAACCTTCCTATTCTAACTACTACACATGGTGGGTTCATACACATCCTTCAAAACATGGCTTAAGAGTCCCCTCTCCCTCAAAGTCCTTCCTGACCTGCCCTTTTTACTTCTTTAAATCTCAAGTAGACCTCTATTGTGGCTCAGGTCACACTGTGTGGTTAGGGCTCATTTAGTTTACCCAACTACAGATCTTGTCAGAGTCACCTTCTCCTTTGTCTCGTGCCCAGCCAAGTGCATGATAGATGCTAAATTTGTTGAATGAACATGTGAAAAATGACTTCCTTTAAATAACTCTCTCTCAGGACACCTGAGAGAGAGTTATTTAAAGGAAGGCAGGAAGGTGGAAAGTCAAGGTGGGCTGCTGGACTTCTACAGGCTCCCCTCTACCATCAGGTTTCCTGTTTCCCCTTTCTGACCTTACCTAGGATATCCCACAGCATCACTTTGGCATAACTCTACTGAATTCAAGGGGAAGGGACATAGATTCTATGTCTCCATGGGAGGAGTGTCTCACTTACAGACTATTGGGAGATAGTATGTGTCAGATCAGGCGGGGGAGGCTTTATTGAGATATCACTCCTGGGGGGAACTCAATCAGACCCACAGAGGGGACAGGGGAAGGGTCTGAGGAGAAACCGTGAGGAAGCTCGACCAGACTGGACTTTTATGGGGCTTACAGCAGGAAGGGAAGGGCTTGGGACAGGAAAAGGTGTTTCTAGGGTCCCTTGCCCCCTTGAAGTTGGTCAGGGGAGTTGGCTGAACTCCAGGATTGGCCAGGGGGGGTCCTGTTGATTGACAGGCATTAGTCAGGAGATCTGGCTGATTGACAGGCGTTTCCGCCAGCATCTGATTGGGGGCTGCTTTGTTCTAAGTTGCCACTAAGTCGCCACCAAGTCGCCGCCAAGTCGCCGCCACCGACCTAACAGTATGTGGTTGTTTATACCAGATGAGTGCATCCATGTTTTACATTTAGCCCAATCCAATTTTATATTTTGTTTGCCTTGTTCTAACTCCTTTAATCGATTTCCATATCCCATAACTGCTGCCCATATAAATTGGCAAGCAACTTTCTCTTTCTAGGCCATGTTTAGTACTTTTTGGTTTATGTTGGAATTAACTCCTCTTAAGATCCAGAGGCAAGGGGCTGGGGTTGTGGCTCAGAGGTAGATCACTTGCCTGCCATGCGTGAGGTCCTGGGTTCAATCCTCAGCACCACATAAAAATAAAATAAAGATATTGTGTCCTCATATAACTAAAAATAAATAAATAAATATTTTTTAAAAAAGATCCAGAGGCAAAGAGATGTGATAGGGCCCCCAGGAGAACTGGAATCAGCTCATAAGGCAAATACCTCAGATGAAGTGACTGACTTTACATAGAGGAAGGCTATTTGAGAAGGGGGTGTGGGTATGAGGGTAAGTTGCTTCCACTTCTGGGAAAATCTTAAGGGGTTCTGGGCATTTGAAAATCTTGGTCTAAACCACATCTACCCAAATGTTTCCATGCAATTTTCCCAGATTTCCATTCCTTCCTATATATGGTCCCTTTGGGGTGGGGGGGTAGAGATCAGGGAGAGCACATCCCCAGTCCTTTTTATTTTTTATTTCAAGACAGAGTCTCTCTACATAGCTGGCATGTATATAGGGTCTTTATCATCTATATTGTGCCTTTAGTTGGCACCTCAACTCTGTATCCATTCTGTCATACCCTGGCCTTATCCTAAGCCAAAGTGCCCTGGCATCTATAGAAGACAATACGCTCAAAGCTGTGATGGAGGCTTTCTGAGGTTTCACCCCATCATAGAAATCTACTCAAGAGAAAAGTAAACATGCATACAAAAAGTTGTGCAAAAATATTGTTAGTAACTTTATTTGTAATATACAAAAACTCTAAACAACCCAAATGACCATTAACAGGTCAATGGATGAACAAACTATGATTGATGTACTCCTCTTGATGACATTCAGATGCCAGGGCCATTCTCTTGGACTTCTTGTTCTCCAGACCTGTGAGCTAAATAAACCTCTCTATTTTCTTTTTCAGTACTGGGGATAGAACCCAGGACTTTCTGCATGCTAGGCACACACTCTACCACTGAGCTTCTCCCCAGCCCTCTATTCTTTATGAATTTAAAATACATAAGATAAATACTGCTTGTGGGAAAAATAATTTATGTAAAAGACCACCTCAAAAGATTAGTCAACAAGGGCTTGGGATGTAACTCAGTGGTAAAGTACTTGCTTACCATGCATGAGGCCCTGGGTTCAATCCCCAGCATGACAAAATGCATTTTTTAAAAAGGTTACACAAGACCACATCAAATTTAACAATTAACTGGAAGGAATCACAGAACTCAAAAAAGCTGACAGTTACAGATTAAAATAAATAACTTTAAAATTGTTAGCCCAAGGCACCAGGTATTCAAAAACACTTTTAGGCAGGATGTTCCAAGGGCTTGAACGTCCTAAGCCTATTAATTAAACCTGTACTGCACAGATTGCACTGTAAGATTCTATTTGTACTCTACTCTCAAATGAAAAATTGTAATGATGGAGAACAAGTCGTACAGGTATTAGGGTTGAAGGAGGGAATGCCCAGAAGAACAGCATAAGGAAGATTGGGGGAGGTGATGGAACAGTTATGTACCCTGATTATAGTGAAGTTATGAATCTACCACATGAGATAAAAGATAAAATTTCATAGAATTGTATATACACACAAGTACCTGTAAAAATGACAGTCTGAATAAGATCTAATATGTGATGTACATCCCAGGCAATGTGCTTAAGAGACTACAAAAACAGAAATAAAT